ATATTAAACAGTCCACAGTTAATATTCCCATGCAGATTAAATTAAATCGCAGTCAATTACTTCGAAAGGAAGAGGTCTCACAATTAAGTGCACAGGGTATTTAATCAGCAAAGACAGTAGAACAAGGAATGCGCAAACTAATTTTATTGTTCACTATGGGTTATTAAAAAAAAAAAAAGAGTTGGATCTACTTCATTGGTATTTTTACCATTTGGCAATACCAAAATATACTTGTGGGATTGGGGACAACGTATCAAGTTGATAGAACAAAAACAGAGGTTGTTTCCTTATCTTTGCTAATGGTTAGAGTTTAACATGATCAATGTATCAATCATAAATAATGACAGCATCAAAGACAGATTAACGATTACAAACCAGATAAAACAGTCCAGCTTTGTTAAAAATTCGACAGATATGATGTTCAATATATAGTGAAGTGCAAACCATTAAAAGAACAAAGCAAAACCAATTAATATGACATCGAAAGAAATTTTGCAATAAACCATGTGCCTGTGATAGATATTATCTTTTGGTAAAATCATCTATGGCACATGGGCACATCCATTTGAAGAATGCAGTTTAAAAAGTTGGTTATTGTTTAGGGAACAGATACCAAGCATAGGTGGTATGTATGCCTACCAATTTAATCATTAATCATGACAGAGTGGGTTGGTGTAATGGTTTCCATTGTGGTTCTCGATCTTATTCATGTTTGACTACACCAGTTTGCTCTACAACATGTAGATATCTACTACCACCAACATCTACCGGTAGGCCTACATTTTTTTATTATTATTATTATTGTTACTTCCCATGCAAACTCCTAAAACATACCTAATGAAATAATTTCAAGTTTCAAGTGTGTAGATAGCAGAGAAGAATAGCATAACACAAGTTTTATTGTTCTAACAAGATATGTTGATCTGCTGATTAAGGAACTCTTATGTAATTTCTAGATTAATACCGGAGTGGCTGATATTGTAAAAACACTTGACATGCATCTGAAAAAGTGTCAGTCATTTTGAGTAAAGACAGTTGGCATCCGTTCTTCATGTGAACATCACCATTTGACTGGTTAATGTGTTTTTAATTTCGTAATAAAATCTTTTTCAATCGACATATTTCCTTTTTTAAAAATAATGCAGTTTTCATACATGCTAACATTTTGATAGTAAAAAATGGGGGAATTTGGTCATGGGTGGGGAGAGGTGTTCCATGTGTAACCCCTCCCCTTGGAGGCTTCAGCTATTAATGTATTATAAGTGCAAATCTCATGATTCTTATGATATGTATTCCAATAATAATAGTATGGTATTGATTTTAAATAACTTGTGTGTTTAATTGACATTTTGTCTTGTGTCTACACAAGACAAAATGTGCCTACAGGCTATGTCTATATGGATTAATTTCTCATTTTCTAGCCCTTTTTCAGTACAAGATACAAAATCTGGATTCAATACTTGTCTAAAAGTGCGTTTTCTATAATTACTAGACTGATATTTTAGCAAATGCAACTTCATGTCCAATTATTCAACATAAGGTCTGGTCCGTTTTCTGTAGTGTGTTATTACAAAAAGACTACAATTAACGTATAATGCAATTTTTGGTACAATGGAAGAGCGCGAAAAAACGTGAGAAAAATTGGCCTGTGGTCAGAATACCAAAACAGGAGTCTTCCAGCCAAAGAAGGATTGCTGGCATGTATAAGTTTTTGCTTGAAATTTGTCGGCCATTTTGTATTTCAAGATGGCCACCATTACAGTAAGAATATCATTTGAACAGGTTGACATTGAAAACATAAGCTTTGCTATCAAAATCTGTCGATACCTGCTTTAATAGCACAATTATGGTTATTATTACTGTGAAAATGGCAGCCATTTTGAAATTCAATATGGTTGAATTGTATGATTCGTAAGAATCTCACCATTGGACAGGTTGACATTGAAGATATAGGGTTTGCTGCCAAAATCAGTTGATACCTGCTCTAATAGCACAACTATTGTTATTTTTACTGTAAAAACGGCAGCCATTTTGAAATTCAAGATGGCCGCCATTTATGATCAGTGATAATATCTCCATTGGAGAGGTTGACATTGAAAATATAGGGTTTGCTGCCAAAATTATGTTGATATTTGCTCTAATGGCACAGTTATTGTTATTTTTTATGTGGAAATGACGGCCATTTTGAAATTCCAAAATGGCCGCCAAGTCAATCTCGAAAAAATGAACCCTTGCATTTTTTGATTCAGCATACCCAAAATATCCAGAAAATGCAATAAAGTTGCTTGGGGCAGGCCTATCTCGCGAAATGACACTATAAGGTCCACACTACAAAATTGTTGAATTTTATATGCCAGTTTTTAGTTTGAACCAGCTGCTGAAAACACATAAATCCCCCTTGAAATAGTTACGAAGGTTCCAATTATCATTAGTGTTTATTATTACTAGCCTAGGCCATTTAGGGATAAGGGGAATTAAAAAGAAAAGCACATCAGAAGATGAATTTTCTCAAAAAGTAAATCAGTATATACAGTAACTAGTCATAGAATTTTCATTCTTTAAATTCAAAATACAGCTTCTGAAAATGTTAAACTGCTCCCAACAGCTACCTTTCACACTCTATTCTTCCATTTAGGCTCGTTCTGGTCGGTGTAAAGGCTTAAAGTATACTATTTCAGTGTGTTTGCTTGTATTGCATTGTCTGGCATCCCCTGCACCGAATTTTATTCGTTTGTTTTATTGTTTTTGTTATAGTTATATTGATGTTTATTTTATTTACACAAATTCACATTGCAAGTAATGGGAATTTCCCGAAGGGTTCGAACATTCCACGGGAAGTGTGAGTTATTCTCCGGCAGAACAAAGGTATTATCCCCGGTTCGCGATTTTTTTTTCCGTACGAAACATTTGTATGAAGCTTCACTCGGGCCATCTCGGATTGACTCGAGTGAGTACGATACGAGGAACAAGAGCAGACACTTCGCAATGTCGTGACGCTCGAGTTTTACTATTATTGCCCTTTCTATGTTTACCTACGGTTGGCCTATGAGAAAAAGAGGATAAACTATAGGCCTAACTACAGGCTGAGGTCTTACCTAGGCCCCTCCTTAAACTAGGCCTAGGTTCATAGGCTGACACAACAGTCACGCTTCACATACTGACATGGACTGAAATTTTGGGGGGGAAAATGGGACAAAATTGAAGCATGAAATGAAAAATAGAGCGCATAAGAGAAATATTAAATAAATAATATACCATTCCGGCGTTATTGAACTTGTCCAAACTAGATCATTGTAATGTAATTAATGTTAAATAATAATAATAATAATAATAATAATAATAATAATAATAATAATAATAATTTCAGCATTAATTACCTTTGGCCTAAGCCTTGTAATGAAGATCCTACAGATACTGTACTATTTACTAGGCCTATAAATAATAATCGCCCAAGGGGAATTATCTTTTGTATTATTTCCCCTTAACGTCGTTTTTTTAATTGTCCTCTAATTCCTCCATTGTCTAAGTTCCCCTTAAGGTACAGGTAATAATAATAATTAATTAATAATAATAATATTCATTTCAGCATTAATTACCTTGGCCTACTTGTAATGAAGAACCTATTCGTATTTCAAGGCCATAATAAACTAGCCCAAGGGGAAGTTTTTTTGTGTTATTTCCCCTTTGTCTAAGTTCCCCTTAACGTACAGGTAATAATAATAATAATAATAATAATAATAATAATAATAATAATTATTATTATTATTATTATTATTATTATTATTATTATTATTATAATTTCGGCATTACATGTAATTAACTTGGTATGGCCTTGTAATCAAGAACCTGCCGATTACTATGCCTAATATTAATAACTAGCTCATTTTTAAATTCATTTGGTGCTCTGCCATTTTGGCAGGTCTTATGGCATCCAGTATTTTAGAGCTGCTGCCTATTCTCAGCTCTTCGCT